TGCTTTAGTCGAGTGTCGATTCACTGCTTTTTATCGATTAAGAACCTCATTCGATAGAGGGAGTCTAGTACATAATGTCTTGATCGGTTGTTCTAAAGAAGGATACGTCCCTATAGGCAATCAACTTAAGAGGGCCTTATTCCTTTAGGCGAGATTCAAGATCCAGTCAAGGATTCTCCACATTTTGAATGAAAGTGAAACAAATTAGAGATCATCAATCATTAATATGCCTGGTGACTAGTGGCTAGGGGGAATCATACCTAAGTGAGTTCCCAACCTGTAATTAGATTAACTTTAACCGTAGTTTGCTAGAGTAGTTATAGTTCTTCTATCTTAATCTGGTTTGCTAGATAATGAACTGAAGTTGAGTAATAGTAACTATAGAGACCCGTGAATTCAATATTTATTATTGGTGCCACTATACTACAGTCTCTTTCATTGGTTACACTTGGCCACTGTTAGGAGTTGCGTTTTAGCGAGTCAGTCACCCTCTTCTGCTCCAGATCATATATGACACAAAGGTTTGAATGAAAGGTCAAGCACAATGAGTTTTTAGTAGTTAACTTTCTCACTGAAACCAAATTTAAAGTGAAGTTGGGAACAAAAAGAACATCTTCAAGAACCAAATCATCACTCCATATTGCAGTTCCTATATGTGTAGCTTGAATCTGTTTTCCCGTAGGTAAAGTGATGTAAACATTTGGTAACTCATTGCAATTGATAAGGTAATCCTATGAGCAGACTATTTGGTCTGATTCTCCAGTTTCATGTATCCAGGTTGTCTTGGTTTCTTTGATCATATTATTAGTAAGCAAGGTCAGTCAACATTTACCTGAAGTTCCTTTGTTTGAAACAAAGGCAGCTGCAGAATGAGTGCTTTGTGATTTGTAATTGCTCATGAGTGCCATCAACTTCTCATAGTCTAGACGAGTGAGCTTCACTTCCTCTTCTAGATTTGATGTTGCGGCATTGGCTTAGCCCCTTCCTCTTCCATAAGTTTGTTGGTTGTTCCTAGAGATGTAGTTAGGATTAAATCCATGCTTGTGGAAGCATTTTTCTTCTGTGTGCCCTTGCTTCTTGAAAAAGGTGCACTCAATCATCTTGCTTGTCAAAGCAGTTGGTGCCTGGGTCCTGGAATTCATCCTAGGTGGAAACCCATGTTTCTTAAAACAGACTTCTTCTGCATGACCCTCTCTTTGACAATAGGTACAAAATGATCTCTTCTGGTTGGGGGGTTTTGCCTCCTGTTAACTCCCTGTATTGCTAAGGCAGTAGCATTAGTGGATGCTGTGGCAACCATTTTGCCTTTTTTTAGTTCAATACAATTGCCTTTTATGTTGTAACATTCTTTGAAAACCCCTATTGATGGTTAGCAACTCATCACCAAATAAGACATGTGACCTTACTCCCGAAAAGTTCTCATTTAGGCCTCTAAGGAACTTAATCACATAGTTAGTCTCTTGATATTAATCACATGGAATGAGTGGATGATAGTTCTTTAGTTCATCTTTGAGAGTGATTACCTTTCCATAATACTCTGTGATGGTTTGGTTTCCTTGCTTCATGGTCGAGAGTTCTTCAAGTTCTGCAACTCAAACAATATAATGTCACTAGATCAATATCTTGTCTGCAAACTTTTCCCTGCTTCTTATGCTGATTTTCTTGATAAGATGGTCTTTTTGATCTCTGACTCAACCGACTGTTGTATCGAGCTCAGAATCATGACATTGTTCCTGACCCATGCTCCTCTTTGTGGATATGTTTCTGCTAGTTCTTCAATAGCTCCATTGATGAAGCCAAGTTTTTTTTTTTTTTTTGCTGCAAGAGAATTAAGCATTGCTCGGCTCCAATCGTTGTAGTTTGTGGTGGTGAGCTTCTCTCCCACCAACATTGAACCTGGCTTCTTAGAGTTATGCAAGAAGTAGGGATCTTCCATAGGATAGATGTGTTGTTGTTGTGGCAGTGGTTGAGTTTCTATAGTTGCAGCTGTTGTAGATGCTTCTGTTGTTTAGTTTATTGCCATGGCAGCGACTAGGTTTGGAAACCAGGCTCTGATACCATAACAAAGCTTTTAGTTTGTTAGAAACCATAGGACTTACTCATTCTCATTCCTCATAAGCCTTATAATTTATAAAGGTTGATCAACACATGAAGACAATCCAACTACTACACTCCTGTCAGTGAGCTTGGATTTGAAACAAACTCAATTCTTGTGATAAAAGAAAACGAAGAAAAGGAAAGAGTAAAAACGACAGTGTGCAAGCTTAAGTGAAAGAGGCTACTAGATAGCGAGAACGACGTCGCTTGAAGGAGATGGATTGCTTTGACTAAAACAGTGTCGCATTATCCTTCTTCTCCGCTGAAATGAAATAGACTGTTGGAATTAAATTTCAAGATTCCATTTCTGTTAATCCATCACAATGAAACCAGTGTTAGTAGACTGTAGTAATTGCAGCAAACCCATCAAGTCCCAAATAAATTTAGTTAGAGGATAGCAGAAGGATAAGTGTTCATATGATTTTTCTTCAGGATTACAAACCGGGCAAATATCTACAATCTACAATCTACGACTTACCCTCCCTTTCGCAGTAGGCAAGATACGATTGCGGAGTTGCCAGAGAAAAAAAGAAGATGATTATAGGTTTCACATGCAGGCTCCAGATTTACTCCCTGAGCAGTGCATCAACCGCACTCACTCGATGGTTGGAGAGATCCAAACCACACTACGGTGACAGTCCCAACAATTTGAAATCCAACCCGATCACAACCCGGATGGATATATGAATGAACGAAAAATCATAAGAGGCCAACAACGGCTCAATCATCAATCCGGTTGGCTGGAGGGGTATAAGTACTAATCGGGTCACGGAACTATTCAAGCCCTCTCCTTACAACCATGGAGTCCCAACCATCGAATCTATTGAACAACTTTCAAAGATCATTCAATCATTATAAACCCAAACTTAAATTTAAAAAATTCATTATAAAGCTTGACCAAACTGTTAGGCGAGATCAAACTATAGTCGTCTGGATGGAAGCAAGAAGCTGTTGTAATAATTTTCAGTTGCACCGAGTCGTTTTGGTTATTTGTTTTTTTTTTAAGTTCTTTAGTTATGTTTTGTGTCAGATTGGTCTATACCGAGTTTCCAGGTAGTTGGAATTGGAGGCCAAGTCTGTTAGCTGATTAGGTGGGTTAAAGGGGTATTGCTAGCTGGAATCATGGGTCAAGGAGTCAGTGGGTTAGTGGAGGCCGGATTAGCAGGCCAAAGCTTTTGTATACAACATTTCATATTCACCTTCAATAATTTTTTTCAATTTGCATTTCATTTGAGTTTACACAAATCACCATGGCTTGGAGTTAGTAATTGGAGTAGAAGCACTAGGACCGCAAATGATTCGAGCTGCTCGCGAGTAGCTCGACGCTCGACTCGGTAAAAGCTCGTTCGAAACTTAGCTCGTTTACTAATGAGCTGAGCTTGAGCTTAGCCTTCTGCAGCCCGCAGAGCTAGCGAGCTAGCTTGACTCGATGGCATGTTGAGCTCAACTCGGGAGTTGGCTAATTTACAGCTCATGAGATGTCTCAACTCTGAACATTGTGGCTAGATAGCCAACTCAATTATCTAATTATGAGCGACTCGATCTATATGAGTTTGATTTTTATAATTCGTAGGATTGTTAAATTATATATCTCACACTATATAAAGTTTAACACGTAGATTATGTGAGAAAATATGTCTTATCTAATTTTAAAAAGAAATTATGTATCATAAATTGTTTCGATACTGTGAAATAACATAATTTTCACTAGTTAAAATTGATTAACTAAATAATTTGATGCCACAAAGTATAACATGAGATTAGTTAATATTGAACACTTAACTATTATTATTATTGTTGTTATTATTATTATTATTTTCAACTTGACATTAATCACATGTATCATGTATAACATACAAAATGAATATATCAAATACGAGTCAAGATTTTATTAAGCAAGCTAGCTCGAACTCGACTCGGCTTGTTAATAAACGAGCCGAGCTCGAGCTCAACTTAGTTATTAAAGAGCCAAACTCAAGTTGAGGTAAAACTTGACTCAATTCGGCTTATTTGCAACCCTAAGCAGCATCATCCAATGGCAATCGCTTCAACACTTGCAATAAATGGCCATTACTTAAACATTTTAATAATTCTACCACGTTTCTTTGTCCATGCCACATAATCTCCCAAAAAGGTCTTCGGCTCGTAAAGCTTATGGGTAAATGCCACATTTGGTCATTGAGATTACTAACTTGAGTCATGTTTAGTCACCAGAAAAAATTAATATCAATTTTGGTCACTCGAATTACTGAAACAAGTCACATTTATTCACTCTTTGTTATTCTCCGTCCAACTCCGTCATTTTGGGCCAAAAATGGTCAAACCCGATCCGCCATGTCACAAAACTCGCCATACCATACACCCAACCCGACCTAGAAAAGCCCACTTAACAAACAAAATTGCGTCGTTCTGTCCCTGCATCGTCATTCCATTCTCTCCGTTCTCTCTCTCTCTCTCTCTCTATACAGGATACAACGAAAATTGAAATCATGGGAAGGAAACAGAATCGGTGGAAAGATTGCCATTGTTGGCTAATTACATGGGTTTTAATTAATAGATTGGGTTAGGGGAGAATCTGCAGATCGGCATGAGGATTCCACCGCTCCCCCAGCAGCGGAAGCGCCAACCACCGTCTCGTCGCCTACGGCCTCCGATCCCTCACCCACCACTTATGCCCTAGTTCTCCCTCGTGCCGCTTGTGAGAATCACTGTATTGGCCGTCGCCGCCATGGAAACCAACTAGATCGGAGAAACCCCATTCATAATTGGACCTCAGGGGGACAATTTTGCCACCAGATTGCTTTGTTTCGCCAAATTGATGAACATAAAATGCAGATCAACCTCGACAAACCGCCCGTTACAAACCCTAAACCCCCAAATCATCGACACGACTTAGGAAGAACATGGATTGCAGCTGCAATGGTTGTGTGGATTTTTCGAAGGAGAAGTGGTGCAAGAGGATGAGAGGGGTTGGGTTTTGCGGGGAAGGATTTGGAGAAGACGCCATTGATGAAGCTCGAGCTTTGCTGAGGAAGCACGATGGGAATTGGGAGATGAGGGTCGAGGAGAGAGATGTCTTTGTGGTGGAAAGGGCGGCCGGTCTCTTCTGCTCGTTGTGGAAGTTGGAAGAAGTCGGCGGCGATGAGGAATGAAATGTGTTGGGGTAGCAGTAGGGGTGGATTCGGTTCGGTTATAACCACTAACCGATTGGTTGGTTACCGGTTAACCGAACCACCATCTCCCCCTACCGAACACCGACCGATGCCAATGCCTCGGTTAACCAATAAACGACCGGTCGGTTATCGGTTAGTTGGTCGGTTAACCGAGATAACCGAATAATGATGGTGGTTCAGTTTTAACCGGGTAAAATTATTATAATCGCCTAAATGAAAGGTTCTAACTTACATTTCTACATCTAAATCACACCCAAAGTAAAGTCTCAATCACTTTTGCATAGAAAATACATCTAAATCACCAAATTAATGTCTCAAATTCAACAACATAAAGTTATAAACTTCATAACCGGGTATTTTCACGTCGTTTTGGAGAGGGGGGGTGGTCGGTCAGTTATTTTTGGTTATTGTCGGTTAACCAGATAACCGGTTTTTGGTTACTCGGTTAACCGAATTACCTATTCGGAGCTCCGACCACCGACCGAAGCATATAATTTTCGGTTATCGGTTAACCGGTAACCGCCAGTTATCGATTTAACCGGCCGGTTAATCGACAACCGATAACCGAACCTCCAGCCCTAGGTAGCAGATTGAAGGGTTAATGACAGAAATATTGTTTTTTTTTTAATTTACCACGAATATGGCCAATTAAAAAGTATTGACAAAGATATTGTGTTTTAGAGATAAGAATCGGCGGGTACACCTGAGACTCAGGCGCTGCCGCTTAAGCTTGGTTTTTGGACCGTTTTATTAGACTCAGGCGGTGGCGCCCGAGACTCAGGCGGCGGCGCCCGAGACTGAAGCGAGTAGGTGGGAAATCAAGACTCCGGCGGTGGCGCCCGAGACTGAGGCGAGTAGGTGGATTGGCCACCCACCCTATAAAACCCAGACAGACTTTTCGTTTCAGATTCACACCACAAAAAAAAATCGTCCAAAATAGAGGAGAGAGCTCTGGTTGCTGCTGCAAAAATGGCTAATAGGTAAGAGACACATTTATTTTTGTAATTATATTATTCAAATGCTATTATGATTGTGTTTAGTTTTTAATTAGTGAGTTTATTTTTTTGTAGTGATTTTAGAAGATTTGAACTAGTTGTTCGGTGGAAATCGGAGAAAGTAGAGGATAATTTGGGCGTCAAATTCGTTGGTGGTAGTAGTTTTCAGTTGACGGTTCCATCCAGAGTCACATATCACAAACTTTGTGAGACTTTAATTCCGAGAATACGGCGCAGAGACGAAGCAGTAAAAGATAGTGATGTGATCACAGGTTTCACTTACCGTCTTCCAGAATGGCAGAATGATGTTTTATTTCATTATGCGTTACCTATTGTGGATGATGATAGCTTGGATGTGCTTTGGAATTTTATGGCACAAAATCCTTATTGTTTGGGTGCTGAGATACATGTTGAGCTCAGTGATGATCAGGGTGGAGAGGAAGAAGATGATACATGGAGCGTGCCATCCGATCATGACTATGATCACGGTGATGACGGAGAGGAGGAAGATGAGGAGGAGGAGGAGGAGGAGGAGGAGGAGGAGGAAGGAGAGCAGCTTAATTATCCTCCATATTTTTACTTGCAGGGCAATGAAGAGGACGAAGAATTTGCACTTGCTGATTCATATGGCGTGATTCCAATGCCTATTGTTGATAGTTTTGAAGGAGAATTCTACAAGGGGCAGATATTTCACTCGAAACAAGCTGCACAGATGGCGATTAAACACCACGCACTACAACGCAACTTTCAATATGGCGTGGTGGAGTCGTCACCTTCAATATGGAAGGTCAGATGCTTGAGGCACAAGGATGACAATTGTCCTTGGATGGTGCGGTTTGGATGTCGAGATGTTGGGGGCGAATGGACTGTGAGAAAAGCTGAGTTGGTGCATTCTTGTAGCAGTACGACTCAACCGACGGATCATCGCCATCTTGATGTCGACATGATATCTGAGGCCGTCAAACATTTGGTACGTGCCCAACCAAATCTGAGTGTTCTAACTGTTCAAGCCGAGTTGAAAGATAAGTTTAATATGCAAGTTACTTACAAGAAGGCTTGGTATGGGAAACAAAGAGCATTGGAGAAGTTGCATGGAAATTGGGAAGAATCCTACGATTTTTTGCAAACATTCTTGCGGGTGGTCAAGAGAAAAATGCCAACATCGGTGATTGATTGGGTAACAGTTCCTTCGACTCAACCCGGTCATTTAATATTTCAGTGAGTATTCTGGGCTTATGGACCTTGTATAGATGGATTCAAGAATTGTCCAGGCGTCATGGTTGTGGATGGAACATTTCTTACTGGGAAGTATAAAGGAGTGCTACTCATGGCGAGCTCATTTGATGGCCAGAGGAAGATTTTTCCAATTGCATTTGCCATAGTGGAGAGCGAGAATACTGAGAGTTGGCCATGGTTCATGAGGAAGGTTCAGGGTTTGACTGATCGAAATGATGTATGCATCATCTCAAATAGACATGCAGGACTCTATGAAGCCATGAATAACATCGGAAGAGGTTGGGAGTGGAGGTGGTGCATGCGACACTATGCAAGCAATTTGCAAAGGAAGACTCGAAGAAAAATTATGTATAATCAACTATTTCGAGTCGGTAAGCTTTCTTCATTTAATTTTGTTATTTGTTTTCATGTAATTTTGTCATGAATTTATCTAACACGTGTTGTGGTTTATTTTGTTAGCCGGAGAAAAACGGTTGGAGAAGTTTGATCGTCAAGTTGAGCAATTTAAGAAGGTGGCCGCTGATAGAAATATTTCATGTGATAACTGGGTGGATCAACATCAGATTCGTTGGAGTTTAGCACATGATAACTACAATGGTGGGGGTCGTTGGTCTATCCTGACATCCAACATGGAAGAAAGCGTCAATGGTATTTTCAAAGGTATTCGTGCACTTCCGATAGCTTCTCTTGTGCAGCATACCTATTGGCGATTGGTGGAGAAATTCGATAAGTATAGGTTGGAGACAGGAGCAGAAATTAGAAGTGGCGGTTCACAGTACTCCACCAAGTGCGAAGAGCTGATGAAGTACAGGTCACAAAAGGCAATTGGACATTCTGTGACAGCTCTTGATCGAGGTCAAGGCATCTATGTAGTTCAGACTCCTCCCAACAATTTCAACATGACAGGGTCAAACACACTCACAGTTCACTTTGACGATCAAAACCGGGCAGGATTTTGCACTTGTGGTAAATTTCAAGGAAATAAAATTCTTTGCTCTCATGCCATTGCAGCTTGCAACCGAATGGGGGCTAATGCGTATAGGTTTGTCAACAATGTCTACAAGCTGGAAACAGTGATGGCTTATTATGGGACAAGTTTCGCACCTCTTGGTGAACCTAAGGGTTGGAAGAAACATAATGGTCCTATTCTCCATCCTAATGTGCACATGATTAGGAAGCCGGGGAGGCCACGAGTTACAAGGATCCACAACGAGATGGACTGGCCAAGGGAGGGTGCATCACACCAAGTGTGCAGCAACTGTAACCAAGCGGGACATAATGCATCAACTTGCGGTGGCCAAGCTAGTAGGAGTGGGAGCAACCGAGGAGGGAGTGGTGGCCAACGAAGTACGAGAGGTGGTAGAAGAGGAAGTAGAGGTAATAGACGTGGCTGAGAGGTGGTAGAAGTTGTTATATTTCTTTTGATTTACCATGTAAAAGTTGTTGTTTGTTTGAGATGTTGTTGTTTGGTATGTTGTTGTTATCTTTTGATTTACCATGTAAAAGTTGTTTGTTTGAGATGTTGTTGTTTGAGATGTTGTTGTTTGTTTATAGTACATAATAATAACAATCCAAAAATAATAGTCTAAATGAAGTACATAATAATAACAATCCAAAAATAATAGTCTGAAGGAAGTACATAATAATAACAATCCAAAAATAAACGTCTGAAGGAAGTACATAATAATAATAGTCTCACTGACGATCACCACGACGACCACCACGACGACCACCACGACGACCACCGCTAGATGGCCGCCAGTACCACACCTAGCAGGCACCCTGATGCGCACTGGTCTACCATCATACTCCTGGGGCTCATCTTCCTCAACTCCACCATCCTGATCCTGTGTACCGAACATCTCATCCTGCTGAGACTGAAGATGCTCATCAGGCTGACCGCCACCACTACGCTGAGACTGAAGATGCTGCTCATGGATCCACATCGTCTCCCTAAACACCTCATCACCCTCGGCCCACAGGTCGGGAGTCGTCGCTGCTCTAGTATCACCACCTGATGCCATGTTTCCCATCGTAGCATGCTGCGGTGTATGGAAGCTATCCTCTGGCTGATAGAAGCTCGATGACGGATCTGACTGAAACTGCTGTCGCCGCGGCGGCTGAAAGCTTGAAGATGGATCTGACTGAAACTCGTGTCATCGCGGCGGCTGAAAGCTCGAGGAAGGATCTGACTGAAACTGTGTCCGAGGCGGATTAAACTAGAAGCTCCTCGATGTAGGCCGGATGGGCTGTGCTCGCTGTCGATCGGAAACCCGAAATGGGTTAGGTGCATCACGATGCTCACGTCGCTGTCTACGTGGCCTATGCTCCTGTCTGAACTGTGGCTCTGGGACGACCCAGCCCGGTGTCGGATCAGTACGCTCTGGCCAGGCAGTCATGACGGGCCCCTCATAGTGGCGCTGTACAGGTACTGTGAGATCAGGGTATCTACGATCCTCAAACCCTAGAGCAGCAACCCCGGATGCCATAAAGTTGGCCAAGTCCTCACACTGGTAGGGGGTCAGCCCTCCAGACCGTACACCGTCACGCAAACTCACCTCAGCATGCTCGATAGTGTCGTACTAAAAAACACCAACAAAAATGTCAGATATTTCACACAATTAACAACAAATTAAGCAAATAAATCAAATAACTAACCAACGCCTCTGCTGCAGCTCCTCTCCGTGTGCCGGATCATCTGGTGACATCTCTATACCACTCCATATGCTCCGAGTGGTAGGCTAACTCCTCATCAGTATATGGAGCCGTCGCTACAAACTCGTGTCGACGGTTCCAGAAAGCAATCGACTCTCTGGAGGCGTGTACCAACTGCTGCCCACGCGATGGCCCACGAGTAGCCTGGCAAAGAAAAAACCTAACCTCAGCCTCAGAATGTGGCTGATGAGGCTCATGCTGTCTCATGCCAAACTGCCGGAGCACGCGGTCTGGATGATGCCACATCACCGATGAAAAGCAGATAAGTGGCACTACTGCTCGAAATGTCTCAGACTGTAGCACACTACCTCTGAGATGAAGTGCTCACTCAAAGTAAGGTTGCCACTACATTAAATCCAAAAATTAACGTTATTATCCCTAAATCTAAAAAAATAAAACAAATGAAAACTATTATATAAAATGAAATGTTATATACTAACCACCACGGTGTCCATCGCGTCAAACCACAGCTTGTACTGGAATAGCTGGTCACCATACTGACGACTGTTGGCCGAAAGCCATCGAAGACCACGTGGGAATGCATCCTCGGTGGCCTGTGCCCTCGTCTCCTCGTCTCGAGGTGCCAGATGTGGGAATCGCTCCCACGCCCAAAACTGCAGTAGGGCGACCCATCCACCAAGGTCACCGCTAAGAGAAGTGCCGGTATGCGTAATGTGCAAAGTCGACCTACCCATCTCACGGTACAGGTAGGATAAAACAGCAGCTCCCCAGGCAAACCGTCCAGCTCTCTCCCAATCCTCAATCAGAAGTAGGTACTGTAGGTGCACCGTACTTCCAGACCGATCCGAGAAAAGTACACCTCCAAGCAGAGATAGAGCATAAGCTCGTGCAAACTGCTCTATAACCTCATGTGATGCATTCTCCGGCAGATGACTGAATTCAACCCTCAGCCAAACAATCCTAACAACAGCGACACTGCCTACAAGATCGGCCGGAACTCGTCCCAACAGTCTCAAACAGATCGCCGACCACTCCTCATCCGGTATATCAACTACGACGGCATCACCGTCGATCGCCAGACCGGACAGTGTAACAACGTCCTCTAACGTGATCGTCATCTCACCACACGGTAGATGGAAGGTCGACGTCTCGGGGCGCCACCGCTCTACGAGCGCAGTAATCAAACTAGCATTGGGGTTCATAGGGACTAGGGGCACGACACTAAACAAGCCTGCCGCTTCGAGAAATGGCCGATAAAGTTCATGGTAAGGTACTAAAATGGTCGTACCTCGAACATGGTACGGTCGATCACCAGCCTATAGTGCACAAAACTTATATTAATTCATTTTCATTCGTAATAATTCTAATTTCACCTAATAAATTCTAATCTGTCTTATCTAACATAAAATTATACTAATTTGAAATTATACTAATTTCACCTAACAGTTCAGTTCACTACCTAAAATAATCTAATTAGCTAATTAACTTTACATGAATAATTATCAAATACTTACCTCGTTTGTCCAAACAGAGTCGATACGATGTTGGCCGTGTCCCCAAAGAAGTGTCGGATCGACCGGACTTGGATCAATTGTCGCCGGCGGTAATCTCATCGAATAAGGATCCATAAGCCTCGGAACTGCAAAAACAAAGCAACAAAACATTAAAAAAAACACAAAACATTAAAAAAAAAATCAAGCTGCCGACGAGAGTCTCACCGCGCAAACGGCCGCCGACTCCACCACGACCTCGCCGACCTCTACCTCTGCCTCTGCCGGAGGCGACTGGTTCTTCGTCGGAGGACATCTCGGGCGGCGGCGGTTCAGTCCAAGGCGGCGGCGCTTCACTCTGGGACGGCGGCGCTCCTGTCTGCGGCGGCGGCGCTCCTGTCTGCTGCGGCGGCGCCCGAGTGTGCGGCGGCGGCGCCTAAGTCTGGGGCGGTGCGGCGGGCGGCTGGTCTCTGTTCGGGGTTGGGGTGGAGGAAGAAGAAGAAGGGAGGAGGAGGTTGGGTCTGGTTCGGGGTTGGGGGGGAGGAAGAAGAAGGGAGGAATATGTGTGGTGGTGGGGAGGGGATAAGGTGGGAGGGGCCGTCCAAATTTTAAAAAAAATTAGTCCGGGGCGCTCCCGCCTGAGTCTCGGGCGCCAGCACCTCAGACTAATTAAAAAAATTTGTCTGAGGCGGGGCCGCTTGAGACTGGGGCGCTAGCGCCCAGGACTGGGTAAAAATTTAGTCCCGCCTGAGTCTCAGGTGGTCCCGCCCCAATCCTTACTAAAAACCACAATATCTTTGTAAATAGTTTTTAATTGGCCATATTCGTGGTAAATTAAAAAAAAAACAATATTTCTGTCATTAATCCCAGATTGAACAACAGAAACTAAAAAGGTGGAAGTGGGCTCAAGTTTGGTTTTTGGTCGGGTTGGGTTCATGGGTTGGGTTGGGTGTATGACATGGCATGTTTAGTACGTGGCAGGTCGGGTTTGACCATTTCCTGCCAAAATGGTGCTGACTAGGTGCTCCTGTTAGCCATGTCAACACATTACAGACTCTTTAAACGGAGTTGGACGGAGACTAACGGAGAGTGACTAAATGTGACATGTTTAAGTAATTCGAGTGACCCAAATTGATATTAATTTTTTCTAGTGACTTAATATGACACGATTTAGTAATCTCAGTCAATGCAGTTAAAAGCGCGATTCTACCTAGAAGCGAGAAATGGGTAAAATCGTAACTAAGCGACTTGGTGGACTGGATACATAAAACGTAAGTTTTTACGTTTTAATGCGTGATTTTGACTACACTAATCTCAGTGACCAAACGACGTGGCATTTACCCGATAACCCTAAAGCTTATCATTCACAATATACAAAATCACCAAAAATTATAAAATCGTTAGGAAAATTATTACAAAAAGTAACATAATTCAAATGTGGTTCCATGGTTTCATACGTCTACAATTTTTTCGATAAAAAATCTCAGATCATACCACTATACAAAGCAAGGTTGTCAAACCGGTTTATACCGTTGTGCCGGTTTGGCAAGTGGAATGATACGACCGGTGGTATAACCAGTTTGTGCCGGTTCATGCCAATTAAAAAAATGTGAAAACAATTAATATATAATGTATTTAATCATATATAAAACATATTTGTAGACAATTTAGTTACAATCCAACAAATATCATCAACTTTTAGCTATTACATTCATAAAATGAATAATAAATTAATTTTTTATTCATTAAGTTCATTAAAATGATGTCATTTTACTTTAAATGCGTAAATCGATCGTACCGGTCATACCGGTGGTGTCATGCCGGTTTCATGACCGGAACAGGTTGAACCAAGTTCAACCGGCATGCCACCGGCATGACAACCATGATACAGAGTGACGTGTGTTTTTCCCCGGACCCCTAAACCAAGAATAGCGGTGGCGGCGAGTTGGGCCAAATCCAGAATTGAAGCAATAAATCGAGAGGAGAACAGTTTGTGAACAGCAACCTCGACAACTCACCGCCTCTTCGCCAAGTAGAAGCCGCATCATCGTCCGTTTTGGCCGATAGCGGCGCCTTTTCGACACCTCCGCCGTCTCCGTGACAACTCTTCCGCCCCCGACCGTCGCCACGCCCGCCGCTACGGGTCCCACCTTTCTCGGGATAAAACAAAAAAGCAAAATTATCTAAAAGAAAGAAGGAGAAAGAAAAAGAAGCCAAGAATATGCTTTACTCTTCTCTGTAAATATACTTTTTCCCCTGCTCTTCAATCCCTTCTTTCTTTTCACTTCCTCTTCCTCTTCCGCTTGCTCCGATCCTTTTTTCGTTTCGTTGTTCTCGACTACCTTGCACTCTCATCTCTCCGCTGCCTTCCTCCACCGACCGCCGTCGCCGGCTTTTCCGGCGCTTCCCATTTCGCTCTCACGAATCTTTATTTTTGTTTCTCCTCTGGTAGTTGAGCGGACATGGAGCTTTTTCAGGAGCTCTTCCTCACCTTGCTTGTTGCTCTCCTCTCCTCTTTTCTCATCGCCAAAGTCGTCTCTAGGGCTACCGGCGGGGGTTCTGGTCCCGATGACGGTTCTTCCAAGGTCGTTTCTCCTGCCAGGAGCCATGATCAGGAAGAATTCGGAGACGTGACGGAAGAAATTATCATGGAGGAGTTGAATTACGCAGGACGATTGGAAACTAGGGAGCTCGGGAGCTCGGGAGTGGTCGGTTTTGTTGAGGAATCGGTGGAGGAAGTTGAGGAATTCGTAGGAGAACCGGCTCCGGCAAACAAGGAAGCGAGCGGAAATGAATGTCGTGAAGTGACCGAGAAAGTGAATAGTGAGGCGGCTGAGGAAATCGTTCCCGTGGAGGTGAATGAGGGAGTTGCCGAAGAGGCGAAAGGAGGTGAGACGGTTGAGATAGAATCATCTCAACCGCCGGAAGCGGCGGCGGAGGAATCCAGTGATGAAGTTGCTGGAGGAGGGAAGAAAGTGGAGATTGAGATAGACGATGATTGGGAAGGGATCGAGAGGAGCGATTTGGAGGAAGTGTTTGCTAAGGCATCCAAATTCGTGGAATCTGGATACGGGGAAGAGAAGCTAGCAAGCATAGGGAGTGATGTACAGATGGAGTTGTATGGTCTTCACAAGCTTGTTACTGAAGGGCCTTGCCATGAACAGCCACCAATGGCGATCAAGCTCTCTGCTCGTGCCAAATGGTATTCAACTTTTTTCCTGTACATATTACTTCCTCTGTGACATTTGTACGTTTTTACAGTTGGTGCTTTGATTTGCTTGATTTGGTTCCTACTTAGGGTTATTTTGACTTGGATGATTAAATACACAATGCCTGCTTAGTATAGCGAATTAGCGATAGAATTGATTTGCTGTAGGAACAGCCAAGTGGAGAGTGTTAGGTTGCAGGGTTTAGAACTGAATGAACCATTAACCAACATTTGAATCGACCTGTAATGTATCAATGTGGGTTGCATCTGAAATAGACATTGGAGTCTGAAAGAGTTGAACGTTATCGAATTTTAAGAAGAAGTATCATAAGGCAAAGAAATGGTGGTGCAGAGCAAAGAGACGCATTAGAGCCGAGGGTATGCCTGTACCAAGTTAGACGGTATAGTTTGATTGTAAGTTATACATAACAGGATGTTTACAGTGAGTGACGGAGAGCCACTGAATTACGTTGTGCAAGGAATTCGTGGCAAAAGCTGGGGAATATGGATCCAGAAGTGGCGATGGAGCAATATGTCACTCTTCTATCCGATAATATCCCACGGTGGACTGACGAAAAATCTGTTGTAAGTCATTTCTGTTTGGGAAGTAGATGGCTGTTCTGCTTCTTCATGTGATGAATGCCTGAATACTTGGTGCTTTTGCAGGGAGAGGGTACAACAAGCCTGTCATCTGAGGCTGTAGAGTCGGGTGATTCCGCTGCAGATATTTCCTCACCTGCATCCCCTCACCCTAACTTTCCATATGAACGGTAATGACTGGATCCTGCAGCCGTTAGAGGGTGCACTTGAGGTCCTATTTGCTTACCACTGTTTCTTCTTGCTGATGCATTGTTCTTTCTTTCGTGCATCTGGTTAATACCGACCCAGTGGCTCCGAGCTGAAGCATGACTCCGAGACGAGTGAGCCGATGACTGGCGACTTAGACGCAAAGAATACGGTATAGGCTCTCAAGCAGTGTGACACTGCCAACTTTCCATTTTGTTCTTCACCCTCTTAACAATGGCATGTTCAGGGTAAATGTAGCATTCTCGTGTAGCCATGTTTAGCATCTGAACATACATACACATTTTGCAGGTGAAGGAATAACGAGTAGCCTTTTTTTTTTTGAACTATTGGCGCCCCAACCACAATTTCCAGTTGCTGCAGCAGTGCTGCTTGACCCGCCACCGACACTAATTTGTCTATCAGGAAAGGGGGCTTCTTCTTCAAGTTAAGTGCCTCAATCAGAAAGTAGTACTACCGTTTCTCTGCTGTCTCTATTATGCTATGCATACAGTCCATTATTTCGTGATCCATTGTCATCCCATCCCTTGTGTGTTGCGTGTCATTCCATAAAAGAAGAAAAAGAAGATAGGAATGTGGGAATGTATTGTCCATATCTGGTGCATGTGTAAATAAATATCGTATATGAAGTAAAACTCGACCTCTCTCCGACTGTCTGTCTCTCCCTGTCTGTTTATGGTGGTTGGGGCTTGGGGGCATAGACGATTACTTATTTACTAATAATGGTTCACTAGACATTTTCCCGGAAAAGTTAATCGGCTAACTTGAAGATTTTTTTAGCAGATACTAATTGATATCCAAAATACACGAACTAGTATCCAAGTACTAAAGTATCTAGAGAGTACAAACTAGTATTCAAGGTTTGCTAACTTATATCTACCATGAATCAACTATTATCCCAAATTCACAAACTAATATCTAGACAACACAGAATAGTATCCATACAACACATAATTAGTATCCAAATTAACACATAAGAGTATCTAGATAACACATAAGAGTATCCATATTGAATACTAGTTGGTTGATTGTGGATATTAGTTGGTATCTGCTATCTGGATAATAATTTCTGATGTTTTGAATACTTGTCTGTGTTATCTAAATACTTTAGTAAAATCAGCAGACTTGGATATTAGTTAGTATATACTAACAACTTATGCAATTAGCAGAATAACTAGGCTGCCCTTTCCCTCGTCTTCCGTCTTGCTTTGCCTTCCTTGTGAAGAGTATAAAGGGTTCGTGACGAATTACTAGAGAGACAGATGGGAAAGTTGAAGATTGAAATTACATGAATGTGGGTACTTGAAAAGGGAAGAAACATGTGGAGTTTATTAGTAGGTACAGGAATACTGCGAATTCTACACATGTGCAACATCATCGCGATGTGACAACCACTCTAACTAGCAGAATCCCAAATTTGCCCTAAGGTGAGGAAGAAGATAATCACGTTGCAATAGGGCTGTTTTTTAACATTGTTATCCATAGCAATCATTTGCCAAGGTGCTCTAATTCTAAAGATGGATAATCTTAATTTATGTATATATCACTGAAAACAACGGAGATGGATATAAGGAAAAAGCCAACCATAGAGCATTTAGTTCTGTTGTGGGTGGAGTTGGTGCGGATCTTACAGGTACAACATTAAGAGCAAGCAAACGTAGCCGAATGTTGTTGTCGTCGCCATTAAAGCTTTTCTTTTGAGGAAGGAAGCTTGCTTGCTTGCTTAGGTTTGTCAGTTTGTGATATTCAATGAAGCCTGGCCGAGCAGTGATGGGGATTCAGTTATTGCAGCATCCTTCAACCAACTCTGGCTCATCCATGAAACCCTTTTCTGTATTTGTTAATCCTGCTCCTCATCCAAGAGATTAGGAGGAGGCTTGGTCCAGTGGTTATAACATTAGTTTTAAATTTGGAATCTCGTATTCGAATCTCTTAATCTGCACCGGCACCACAAAAAGTTCATATCACCATGCAGAGGGAAAACTCTTTCTTATTACAACTTAATAAAAGGGAAGAAGAAGTAAACCACACACTTGGCTTAAGCAACTTAAAATAAAGAGGAAAAAAAAAACCAGAAAGGAAGAAAGCAGAGGGATAAACTCATAACTTGAGACCTAAATGGGACACATTCTATCATTATCACAATGAGAAACTATATTTCCCTTTATTCCCCAAACAAAAAGATAGGCAGTACTTGGGCCTACTCTGGAATCTAATTATGGCCTTCTGCTGCCCCCACCCTCCCCTCCATGACGTCCGCTCGGCCCACTCTCACTATACCCGTATCCGGACCCCGACCCCATACCAGGCCCAAACCCAAATCCCAGCCCGCCACTTCCGTCATCGTACGGCCCAGCTCCTGATCCAGATCCAGTCCCAGACCCAAAGCCGAACCCACCTCCAGAACCAGCACCACGAGGCGCCCCACCTTGTCCAACTCCAGTACTACCGCTGCCGCCGCCGTAACCGTCTCCAACGTCGGGCCCACCGTATCCACCACCGCCACCAGAGTAGCCGGGGAATCCAGCACCACCGCCGCCAGCGTAACCGCCGATGAAAACCTGGTAACGGCCTTTGGCATTATTCCCGCTGCCGGCGTTGTCACCACCATTAATGCTTCGTTTCACCATTGGAGGGGCGAGTGACGTGGCATGCCTCCTGCCTGCCGCGTCTGCGAAGCTCCAGCAGCAGCAGCAGCATAATGCCAATACTACCCCTCCAGCCCACCATCGCGCCCTTCCGGCTCGTTCCATCACACTACTACTGAAATAATGAAAAGGAAAAGGAATCTCCAAGGAAAGGGTTTATGTAATCTTGTGATCCTTACGCCAGAGATAGAGTAATTAGTCATCAGGTGGTGTGTGGTTCCATATATACAAGATGAAGCAAGCAGCAGGGCAGGGGGTGTAATGTGCGTGACGAGGCGGGCGGGGCGTGCCAAAAGGGAGCGTATTCTTTTCATTTGCCGGTGGCCGGAACCGCTTGCATGATAACAGAGGAATCAGGAGGGTGGGGGTGCGTTTTTAGTGTGCGCATTTTGCAGGCAGGCAGGGGGTACTGAGTTTGGAGTTCAGCTCTGCGCCTAGGGTTTGTAATGAATGAAGACCGCGAAGTTGGAGGTTGGGCCCAGAAAAAGCTTAAACAACCCGGCCCATTATTTGGTGGTTTCTTGTCATGTCTTCTGTGTTTGTATTCAGTCGTTTTGATTAGTTGATTAAATTGCCATGTCTATGTAGCTTTTGTAACTCGAATTATGTTCCTCTATTTGAGTAAGCTAATGACCAAAAAAAAAAAAAAGAAGGTCAAACGATGCATTATAAGCCTAGTAAATAAGATGGATTTCTCGTTTCAAATGGCAATACCTAGCAAATCACGATGTAGATATATGACAGAATATACGTGATTGACATGGTTGATTAACTCAAGCACAACCATACAATATGTTCTTAGAATTCCCTTTATGAAAACATTTAAACCTCAACTTGAAGCTGCTTAAGATTCTAATGAGCAGCAGCGGATCCAGTGGGTGGTCATCCCGCAGTTGGTGTATATAGGGATGGATATACAATACAATCGATTAGTCGATTGATTTGTCTAGTCTTGACGTTGCTTGTTTCAACTACTATGTAGAGAAGGTTTTCAACAATGAAATGTGTAAAAACTGATTTGCGCATCTGAATGAGCAATGAGTTTCTCGTCAATTGCTTAACTATTTTATTTGAAAGAGAGTATGCTATTGGTATGTGTGTAGACACCATTATTGATGAATTCGCTAATTAAAAAACCATCTTGTACAATTGACATTGTACAAAAAACTATGATTTTTGTTATGGTGTCTAATTTTCTAATAAAATGCGGCTCATTGCTCTCTTATGTTCTTATCTGCCGCTGCTAATGAGCCTGAGAATAGAAGAGACTTCCTATTGGAACTTCGAACTTTTTGAGCGAATGATGGATTTAGATGTGGGAAAGAAGCTACAAACAAGAAAGTATACAGAGGACTTGTTGAGGAGGTGAGCTTGACTTATTGCTAATAGTGAGGAAGCCATAATCTATAGGATCTCAGATTTTTTTTTTTTTTTTTCTATTTGTATAGTAATGAGAGAATGTCGTATAATAGAAAGAAAATAAATCATGAAAGAAGGGAAGTTTCGTATCCAAAGATAGACACCTCTGAGATCGACCCTAAATAACTTAATGAATGGATCATTTTGTTGTTTGACAATACTACTTGTAAAAGGCCATATCCAAAAAAATAATAATCAGAGTGATGGAAATCCGAATCTATAGTGTTGGTAGTCAAGTCAAAGAACTGAGACTAGATTGGGGGATTAGGAATTTGGTGAGAGCTGGAGATTATAATTAGAGATTTGTGAAAGAAGCTTAGAGAAGAAGAAAGGGAGGAAATGAAGGGTTCAGCTATGATCGTAGGAAAATAGAAAGGGATGAGAGAGAGAGGAAAGCCGGTTGAGTTTAAGAGAGGGATATAATAGGTTTCAGGGAAATTTTGATTCTGATTAAAATTTTTTTTGGGTGAGAAACAGAGCGCAGAGGGGTGCTCTAACCCTTATTTATTGATAAAACGGGGTTATTGAACCCCTATCAGATCGTACAAAAGCCAGTACCTCAAGCTAGGTCCCGGGTCGTCTAACATGTGACATCCAACAGGCAGGGAATGGCCAACAGAAACCATGAAATCGGCAACGTAGTAACTCTCACCGAACACATGACTAATTCTGACATCCCAATCACGATCGAGTAATCGCCGGATAGCTGCAGCCTGCTTGTTATGTGGGTGACTTGCACGATCATTCTTTATGATCGACTCGGCCTTTTTCGAGTCCGTTTGCAACCAGACATTCCTCACTCCCAGTTCCCAAGCAATCTGTAGGCCATGTGCAATTCCGGACAAACCCTAAGTTGGCCGAGAAACCCTTCATGAATTGCCCGCTGCTGTTTGACTCGCTATGACACAACTCCTAACAATGGCCAACTGTAACCAATGAAAGGGACTGCAGTATAGTGGCTCAAGTAATAAATATCGAATCCACGGGTCTCTAGAGTTACTATTACTCAGCTTCAGTTCATTATTTAGCAAACCAGATTAATAAGGAAGAACTAAAACTACTCTAGCAAACTACAGTTAAAGTTAATCTAATTACAGGTTGGGAACTCACTTAGGTATGATTCCCCCTAGCCACTAGCCAGACTAACAATTGATGATTTCTAACTTGTTTCACTTTCATTCACAATGCGGAGAATCCTTGACTAGACCTTGAGTCTCGACTAAAGGAACAAGGCCCTCTTGAGTCAATTGCCTAGAGGGACGTATCCTTCTCTAGAACAACCGATCAAGGCGTTCTGAACTAGATTCCCTCTATCGAATGAGGTTCTCAATCGATACAAAGCAGTGAATCAACCCTCTACTAAAGCAATTGATCCACTACTATCAATCTATGGTGCTCTATTGACCTAATCAGGTATTCGCTCTCATAGGATTAAAGCAGAATCAATAATCTCGACTAAAGCAGAATTGAATCATGAAAACATGCATAGATTGAATATGAACTCCATATTATCAAGTAGGAGTACTCATACAATCATCCAATCAAACAAATATGGCTAGGGTTCCTCAAAGCCTAAGTGAAGGGAAGTTACTCCATAGAGAAGAGAGAGACTGCAGTAAGAATCTTTAGATGATCAGTCTTCAAGTCCGGTCTTGTTCCTTGAGCTTCCAAGGCAAAGAAATCCTCCAATTCCACTCTTAGAATGACCTCAAATCGCCCTCTCTCTCTTTGGTTCGTCCCTTGGGTGTTTGGGATCCAAAACCCCGCTCTCCCTTTCCTTTGGCTTCAATCTGCCTAAAAAACCCGATTCTGGGCAAAACACGGTCGAGGACACGGCCGTGTTTTGCTTTTGCCCACACCTGTTTTGCCCCCATTAGCCCTCGTCGGCCAAAACACGGTCGTGCCTAAATATGGACACGACCGTGTTTTGATTTAGGCGCGCCCGTGTTTTTACTGCCGAACCTGTTCACCTATATTCAATGCTTCGTTTCTCCCTCGTCCGGACTCCGAATCAGTCGCCGTTTGATCCCAGACGTTCGTAGTCTCGTCCTCTTTATTTTCATGACAAGCTTGCATGATTATTTGTCCATAAAGTGAGGTAGAAATCCATTCTTCTTCAGGTCATGCCCGAGTTTCTTCTCCCTAATCGCCAATTGATCTCTGATTGACTTGAAACTTGTGCCTATGCTTCACTTTATGTGCTAGGACCTGAAATGTGACAAAGGAACACAACCTAGCGCAAAATAGGCCAAATACGCGATAATTAAAGCTCAAACGATCAAGAAACAAAGGGGAAAACATGTGCAAATATCGAGTCATCACTGTCCTTGATCACTCCCCCAGTCGAGGCACTGCCCGATGCTAACACCACAGAGTCGTCCGTGTTCAGCGCAACCCACCCCGGTGGCGGCTTCTGCCAATTAATGTAGCTCAAAGACCTCCGTTGCTGCTGCCCCATAACCTGCTGAGCTTTGCTCATAGCTAGGCTGCTCTGACGTGTCAACTTCTCCGCTTGTCTAGCCAAAAGGATAGGCGATGCTAGAGTCTTCTCAAACACCAACTTATTCCTGTTCTTCCAGAGCTTCCAAGACAGGATGGCGAAGAGAGTAGCATCAATTTTTTCGCTCCGGCCAGCAAGGTAATACAGCGCCCACTTCGTGAGGTCTTCTTCAAAGAATAGACTGTCCGGCTCTTCCCGCAAGACCTCCGACCAAGCCTCCCTTGCGTAGGGACAGTCTCTGATTACATGTAGCGTCGTCTCTGGACCTCCTCCACATACCGGACACACAGCAGATTGCGTTAAGTGCCGCCTGCATCGCTCCGCATTAGTGAGCAGCCGCAGGTGTAACACCAGCCAGAAGAACGATCGGGTATGCTGAGGGCCTTCGATCCGCCAACATCTCCTCCAAACCGGGTGCGGATGGCCTGGGTCCTCTACTTCTCCAAGTAAATCCACCGCCGACTTGATGGTAAACAAACCGGTCGGTGATAATCTCCAGACAGGCGTATCTGGGGAACTCCCCTCCGGCACAGGATGGAGCAGCAGCTGTGAAACCATAGCATTGGGTAAGAAAGCTCGGATATAGGGGAGATTCCACTCCCATTTAGAACTAGGTCTGCAACAGTCAGGTCACGTGCTGCTTCCGGAAGCTCATTCGTGAACTCAACGAGAGGTGGCTCATCTTGAAGCCACGTATCCGTCCATAACCTTGCTTGAGAGCCACTATTAACATTCCACATCATTCCTCGCGGAATATAATGGAGAATGCTAAACACCCCTCGCCATAAGTTCGACATACGACCTGTCGTCCGCGGTCTCCAAGCTCCATCCGTCCACCACAAGTACTTACCCCGTACCACTTGAGCCCATAGCTGGTCGGATTCCGTCATCAACCTCCAAGAAATCTTCATCATGAATGCCTGGTTCATCCGCGTAGCACTACCCATTCCCAAACCGCCTTCCTCTTTAGGTTTGCATAATGTATCCCAGTCCACAAGGTGGATCTTCCTACCCTGTTCCGAGCTGCCTAAAATAAAACCGCAGATCTTTTTATCAATATACTCCCTCACAAACGCCGGTAGGAAGGAGGTCTGCATCGGGTTGTTCTGCCCGCCAAAGATAATGACTTGATTTTCCAACCTGCTAGTCTAGAATTAATCCGATCAATGAGCTCTGTATACATTGCTTTTGACACCCTGTCGTGGATCACTAGTACTCCTAGGTACGACCAAGATTCTTGGTCTCCGGGATATCAAGTGTGTTGCTCAATGTACCTCCCTAAGCTGCAATCACATTCTTCGAGAAAAACACACGAGACTTTGGTCTGATGATCTGTTGTCTCGACGCCGCCCCAAACTCTTCAAGGCACCTCAGAATGACCTGAGCCTGACTTGTGGACGCTTCACTGAAAAGGATGAGATCATCAGCGAAGAAAAGGTGCAACAGTGAGGGCCCCGACTGGACAGGCGCACCGGTTTCCATTCGCCTTGTGCAACCGCCTCCGAAATAATATGGCCTAGCCGTTCCATGCATAGGGTGAAGATATAGGGGGATAGTGGGCAGCCCTGACGAAGACTCCGGGAGGGCGCGAAGGACTTCGCAAGGCCTCCGTTCCACTGGATCTGCATGGTGTAAGAGGAAATACAACTCATCGTTAAATCAATAAACTGACGAGGTGCGCCCACAACTTGCAGAGTGTCACTGACAAAGCTCCATTTAATACTGTCATAGACCTTCGCAAGATCGATTTTGAGGACCATCCAGCCTGTCCTTCCCTTCTTAGCCCGCATCGAATGAAGAACCTCCTGCAAAATACAGATATTGTCAGTAATGTGCCGATTGGGGAAGAAGCTCGCCTGAGTCTCATGCACCAGGCGAGGCATGAGAGGCTTTATTATTTCTGCCAAACACTTGGTGATCATCTTGTACGAGACATTGCATAGGCTGATCGGCCGAAATTGGTCAATCGTAGCTGGTTTTGCCACCTTCGGGATAAGGACCACGATAGTTTCATTCAGTTCCTTCACCCTAGATGGCTAGTTCCAACACACCTGCATAAACTCCAAACTTTATGTCCCACAAGCTCCCAGTTACGCTGATAAAATAGTGGATTGAGACTGTCCTTTCCCGGCGCCTTTAGCCCGCCCATTGCCTTGATCGTCGTATGTACTTCCTCCAAAGTGAATTGCTCTTTAGTGGGGATCCAGGCATTCGCTGGGATAACATCAAACATTGACGGTAAGACCCGAGCTGGTTCCCCGTCATCTGTATACAAAGCTTCATAGCACTCCCTTGCTATAACAAGTAAACTATCCTGGTCTTCCACCCATTCCCCTGCACTATTCTTCAATGCCGAGATCCGGTTCCTCCTCCGTCTACTAATGGTACGGGAATGGAAGTAGTGCGTGTTCCTATCCGCCAGAAATTTGAAAGGTTTGGGTCCACCTGGCTGAAATGACGGATCGACCGTGATGAGAATAGGTCTGTGGTCGCTCCGAACCCGAGGAAGATGACTCACCACTGTATCCGGGAAGGTACCAGCCCAAAAGGAATTCACTATGCTTCTGTCTAGTCTTTCTTTCACACCAGTTCGAAACCATGTGTACGGGGGGCCTGTGAAGCCGAGATCAATCAACCCGGAGTCTAGCATGCAATCCTGAAATTCTCGAGCCCTCGCAGCATCAAATGGTACGCCACCCAACTTGTCAGCTGGTTGAAGGATCGAGTTAAAATCTCCCTCTAGCATCCATGGTTCCGTAATTCCTTCGGCTAGGTCGCGTATAGAGTTCCACAAGTCTCTTCGCTTCACTAGAGCGGGGTTTGCATAAATAGCCGTCAGTAGCCACTGAACTTGTCCATAGCGGACCCGAACATGCAGAAATTGGGACGCTCTATCAACCTCCATAATTGTGACCATACTCGACTCCCAAACAACCCAAATTCCACCTGCATAGGCCGCCGCGTCCACAACCAGGTTCTGATCAATACCAGCTCCTTTATCACATCTTCCGCTCTAGTACCACTAATTCTAGGTTCCACCAAAATCACGATACTCGGACGATACTTCCTTCGATATTCCTTGTAAACTCTCAGGAAGCGATTGCTTCCCGCGCCCCTGCAATTCCATACAAAGACTTTAATCATTAAAACTATGGAAAGAGAGGTCTCGGTTGCAATTCGCCATGCGCTTAGGCAGTAGGTGCCTCAGAGCTGAGGCCACCCACCATCTTCACATTAGATTCTCTCAGGGTTGGTTCCACGTCCATAATATTTGCATGCATGCCGCTTTTTACTGGGGGAGGGTCAGTTTTACTGTCCCGTGGACCCTTACCCCATCCCTCCGGGTGACCTCCCTCCTGACTTGTCTCCAAAATTCTTGCTTGTTCCATCCGAGCAGAGCCCCGGCTTAGCTGAGTATCACTCATCAGTGGCTGGCTTGGTTCTGTTGATCGGATTTGCACCTGGGACGTCGCTTTGTTGTTAATCGAGCCTTCCTTAGCAACAGGGGCCTTATTGCGGTAATTACTCGACTCACTTTCCTTGGTATTCTTCTGTAATTTTCTACCCGTAGCACCCATATCACTCCTCACTGGCTCCTTCGGCGTCTCCCTGGTAGTGTCCACAACTTGAGCATCATCCTCCTCCATCACTTCCTCGTTCACCAATGCCGAAAATCGAGAGCCACTCTGGTGGGAAGCTTTGTTTTGGGCCTCGTGTTGCGCAATCTGTTTCCCCTTCGCGTTATTCTTCTGGCAGGCAGGTTGTGGTTTCTTTTTCACAATCATCCATTCCCCATACGACTTATCCGGCTCAGGCTCCCTGGGAGTCTCTGTCGGCTTCGTACCTCCTTCTTGTCTATTCACCTCTGGTCAAGAGCATGGGCACCCAATGTGGTCAAAGACTTTCCCACACTTGAGGCATATCTTATCGAGTCCCTCATACTAAATGAAGTACTTGATCCCGTGTATCCTGAACTGAGAAAGCAGGGGTTTAGTCAGGTCTACTTGTACGCACACTCGAGCATAATCTAGCCGAGCTCCTGTGCTGGTTGCTTGGTCCACACGTAACGGCTTCCCTATTCGTTTCCCAATCTTCATCACATAATCCGTATGAAAATACTGTGTCGGTATGTCTAGAAGTCGGGCCCACACCAGGGTGGAGAGATCCCGTGGTTATAGGGATTGAAGCTCTTATCCCACGTGTGAAAAATCAGATAATGATCCCCTACCATCCATGGTCCGCCTGTGACTACCCTATCATAATCGATTCCACTAGTAAAACGCACGAGAAAATACCCATTCTTCGCCGATGCTACTTGAATCGATCCCGCCCTTGCCCAGATGGCATTAAGCCTTCGAGAGACCACCGTGTAAGACGACGAGCGGCCAAGTATTTTCACCACCAGCGCGGAGCGCAACTCTCTACAGTATCGTCTTTCTTCTGCAGCCGAAAAAGCAATATTCGGACAGAGAGGATCATCCTCCCCATCCTCTCCTGATTCCAACCCTTCCTCTCGAATAGTCGCTGCCACATCTTCCAAATCCGAGTCTGCTATGTACCAAGCATCTGTCTTCCATGCATCACTGAAAAGTCGGCGCGCTGCTCCCATGCCAGAGGTCCATGTCGTCGTCTTGGGGCTACCCTGGTTATCCCTTTTCTTCTCTTCAGACGCAGCGTCCTCCAATATCACGTCCGGGTCGTGTTCAATCGGCATGTTGAGCAGGGAAGGTTTCGCTTTTTTTTTTACTTTGCTGAGCTTCGCGATCACCTTTGGAGTTCTGATTAAATTTTTAAATCTAGTTCACAGTTTTCAGAATATTTAATTCGACTAATTCTCTTAATCTACCCATAATTGTCCCTTAATAAGAAAATTTCAATTAACTCCCAAAGCCTCCTAAATGGTACAAAATATCCAAATAATAACCAACATATCATCCTAGTTTACCTTTCCTTCTTCGACCTCATCCTTTCAGCTTCCCACGAGCAACATCAGGTGAGCATCGACACACTGGTGCTCCGTCGTGGACATCTCGTTGCAATAAATAAAGGACCATTAACAATCCTAGCCAGGCAACTTCCAGTGATAATAAATGAGCTTCTAATCATCAGATTCTGCCTCGAGCTAATTTAGTAGCTTCTCACATTTTAGAATCTCAGGAACAAGAAGGTATATATGTCTTGGTTGTAGCACAAACTAGTCTTAACCAATAAATGAATATTGGACACTCGTGGTACTGACCATATCATATGCACCATTTTTCTTATATACCTCATGCTTATATTTTTTTTGTCATAGATAGGTGTAGAATGTCATAGGTAGGTGTATAATGCAGTATGCTTACAAATATGTAGTAAATGAAATAATCAAATGCGGCGGTCGATAGCTAATCAATCCGCCAATAAAAGAGCATTTTTAGCCACTAAATGGGCAGTGCTGTCAGTACCCTAAAAAATGCAACAAATGATACAAGCGGGTACACAACACGCTCCAAAGCTAGAGCAGCCATACCATTGCCACGTGCAAAGCAATGCAGTCACACCTACAAAATCAACAAACTAACCCCAACCACCTAAAAGCAAACAACTAACCCATGCAATAAACTCGTCCGAAGCTCTCCATGAGAACACCAAAGCTGAACTTTTCCTGTAGATCTTTGCACCAAATCCGCACTTCAATCGACAACAGCTCCATCAATGCTTGTTGGTCGAGGAAACACATGACCTTGTCAAATAATCATATTAGAACACACTGTTAACGAGATGCTATGTTGAGTTTACCAACTAATGAGAAGGAGTCCTAGCTAGATATTATAAAGTTTAGAAAGTTAGTTACAAAAAAAATCACATGAAAGGCAGTAAAGAATCAGGACACAGAAGTTAGAGGAAAAAACAAATATGTGTACAAGGTAAGCCTATCTGAAGATCAAACGACCAAAGCCACTAGATTAAGTTCAACTAACATATTTTACAAAGCCAGAAAAAAAAAACATTTACAGACGTTAGCGAGTGAATAGCTTTACTTTGATTTACATACATGACCAAAAGGAAGAGCACATACATCCTCTGATAGACAAAAAGTCCTTGCTACAAGAAGGGCCCCGACAATATATTACAGCCAGCTATATAACACAAGAGCAAAAGAGGTGCTCCAACTATATATTACATCCAGCAAGGAGCAAACTATAGACAATGACAAAAAGTCACACATGAGGTAGAGGATGTCAAAAGTCAGCCATCTCAGGGCTCAGAACGACGTCTCTTCAGAGCAGTATCACCATCTGAACCATCCTGTCGCACCCAAGTGTATAGACGACGATGCTTGCGCAGGGTCGATTCATCAACCCTTGGTCCACGTTCGGAAGACAGCAACGGCAGGCCATATGCATGGGGAGAGCTCGAGAGTACAACTTTCCTAGGGCAGGACTGACCAATATGCCCAATAACTCCACATAAGAAACAGAACTGTGGTAGACGTTCAAACTTAATTGTCATCTCAAAACTCCCTTTGCTAGGGTCTTCATGAGCGGCTGGCAGCGATTGTGGCAAAAGGACCAAAGTATCAAGAAAGACTTGAAGGCGGATGTAACGGATAAGATGAATCATGAACTTTGGGAGGATCCACGGAGAGGCGCCAACAACCCTACCAATATCGTTTTCATCAGAGAAAACGAACTGAATAAGCCCCATTTCCAGAGGAGAGGTCGAGAGGGAGCTCTGGCATCTCCAAACTCGGGCCATCAGGGAATGGAGGGAATTGATCGAAGGATCAGAACCGAACAGCTTCCCAGTCAAGGTCAGCTCACGACGTTCAGCTCCGACAGCAATATCCTCATCATTAAAAACAACGAGCTCAACAGCAACCATAACTTTAGACAAGGTCAGTAGGAAAAGAAGTTGAAACCTGAGGGAAGCGAATCATGCTTATATGTTTTTAACACATTTATTCACATGCCAAATGGTAACAAAGTAGTTGTAACTATAAATGGTACTGTTAGATTCTCAAATAACCTACTTTTGTAGAATGTGCTACTCGTACCAACTTTTACTTTTTATCTTGTTTATGTGAGTCAAATGGCCAAGAATCCATCTTTGTGTTTGTGGTTTCACATAGTGATAGAACTGGGGTGGGTATATCAGTAGCCATACTCGTCGTTTGCATCAAGGGCGGGTCGAGGTAGGTAATACCCGTGCGTGTGTGGGGTGAGGTACTGGTCGACGCATTCTTACATGTTATTTTCAAAATAAATGCAAAATTTTACCTTTTACAATAAAGCGAAGGGAAAATACTTTATGAATGACAAATATTGATAATAAAATGGGTAATTGAGTCTAACTAGTTGAAGAAAAGTCAAAATAGGAGAAATATAAATAGATAATGTAAGAAATTGAAGTAGAATGGCCAACAATGGGACAAGGAGGGCGGGTTGAAAGCATATACTCATGTCCCGTCCCATGCAACTACGGTTGGTAATACATGCCCCATCGTAAGTCAGGGTGGATAATACCCGACAGGGTGGGTTCAAATTGTCATCCCGAGTTTTACATGACTTTTTTTCTCATTTAGGAGTTCCCCAGCTTGATGATGATTGATACAGCTACCTTGGTGCAAGGCTTATTTCTGTTACATCCTACTGAATAGACCAGTCAACTTCAACATTATCTTTTAGCAAAATTACAACCTTTCGCTGCTTTATCAACTTCACAGCATCCCATTGACCTATGGCTACATACTAGGTCACCTACCACACAATAAGTTTCAACATCTACAACTAATAGGCTGTCATGTAAATAACAATCCTTGTTCCCATTATTATGTATGTCCAAGAGCAAAACAAACACATTTACAATCCTGCTAGTGTTAGTAAGTCTGTAGCTCCTTTTGATTTATCGCACATTGATATTTGGGGAAATGCCTCAGTCAAATGTTATAATGGTCACTTGTACTTCCTAACTGTTGTAGATGAATACATTCGATACACTTGACTGTTTGTAATGAAAAGGAAATATGAAACCATGACATTTCTTGTCATTTTCATAAAGTATTTTTTCATTCAGTTCAATACCAAAGTTAAAACTATCAGAACTGCGATGGGTTTGGAGATTCAAATTCCATAATATTACAATTCAAGGAATTGTCCATAAGACTACCTGTGTATATACATCTCAACAAAATGAGACTGTGGAAAGAAAGCATCAACATATTTTAAATGTCATTAGAGCATTACTGTATCAAACTTTTCTTCCAAGTCATTTATAGAATTTTGCAAACATGCGATGCAGTACATTTGGTCAACAGATCTTCTACTCCTCTATTAAACAATAAAACTCAATTTGAGATGTTATATAACCAACCACGAAATTTGTCTCATTTATAGGTGTTTGGTTGTTTATCTTTTGTCACTACTATACAAGCTACTAGGAATTATTTAAATCCTTGAGCTAAACCTTATGTATTCTTAGGGTATCCCAATGGTACCAAGGGCTACAAATAATATATAATATGGACACAAATGATATTTTCATATCTAGGGGTGCAATCCTATGTGAAAGCAATTTTTTCATTTTGTCAAGGACTCAAGGCAAAATATATCTGTATAGCCATAACTTTCACATTTGTGACAAATATATCCCTAATTTTCGGAAAACACAAAATAGCCCAAAAATTAGAAGGTAGTGTGACAAATCTAACCAAATCCGTTAGAAATTTACCTTAAACGGCGTTTCGCATGTCGTCAAATTCTGTGACGGAATGCTAACTAGGATCCAACTCTCGTCCACATAAGCTACAAATCAACATAACTTTACATTTAGATGCCACATCATCAATTATTTAAAAATAAAAATAATATTTTCTATTTATCCTCTTATTCCCGTTGACCTTCGTGCTCCCTCTATCCTACCTCCTCCCAAACTCGATTAGGGTTTCAATTTCGAGAGACCCATTTCAATCGGCAGCGTTGGGGATTAATTTGATCTAGCCGCTTCACCATAGCAACCGATTCCAAGTTCCCTTTTCTCGGGAAAGCCTCTAACATCCTCTTCCCATCTTTCCTCCCCTCCCACCAACTCCTTCTCCACTGAGAACTTCAGAGCAGCGACAAGGGGATGATATAGATTCACCAACTAGAGCTTGAGGAGACTCTGAATGATGAGAATGACAATGATGGCAGACCTCCGAAGACCTGATTTGAAGCAGAGCAAAGTGGCAGAATGGGAGAGCTCGACGTACGATGCTTGTCTGGCCTTAGATGTCTTCGCCGACGGTGTTGATGTTGCTGCCCTGAAGAAGAGAAGCGCAACTGGGATTTGATGGGTCTGCTCCAGCTCCTTCACGAAATCTATTGCGCTTCTGATGATTGATGCTTGATCACCCTTTTTGTAAAAAAATTCCAAAATCTCATCAATGCAAATTGCATAAATGGGTTGGGGGGGGGGGGGGGGTTGTGGGGGTGGGGGGGGGGGGGGGGGGGTAAAAGCATTTGATCTTAAGAAACTACCCTTTGGACGTAGGAGGGTGGCATGAGGGCGCTCGTTCTCATTCTCTTACTTCTCTCTTTCTTCGTCGTTGTCGAGGAACCATCGGCGATCGGTTTTGCGGAGTTTTTGGGCGCTTCCTCAGCGTTAGTACCAGTCCAGGGAAGAAGAGAAGCGCAGGTGGGATCTGATGGGTTGACTATTTTGTGTTTTTGAATATTTATGGCTATATTTGTCACAAATGTGAAAGTTATGGCTATACAAGTGTATTTTGCCTTTTTTCAACTAACATATGAAATGAAGCTCTACTTCCAATGTACAATGGATCTTCTAGATTTGGATACTTCCTGTCATGCAGCTTCATCTGCTTCTCTTCCTTTATCTACTCAGTCCTCCTAATCAAAATTCAGAGCCTTCATGTTCACCACATCAGTGTGCTTCAATGCAGTCAACAACTTATGTTCCTAATCTGTCGCAGACTCATGATGAGTCTTCTTTTTTAGAACGAGAAAGTGTTCCTCATGCAAAACAGCCACAATCAACTATTAGAAAATCTAGCAGAATTAGAACAACACCTACTCACTTAAAAGAATGTAAATATAATATATTAAGTGGTATAGTTGTTTCCAACACAACATAATATCAAATTCAAGATGTTCTAACCTATACTTCCCTAAGCGCAGAACACAAGAAATTTTCATTATCCCTTACTTTGGTGAGAAAGCCACTTCCCACAACGAAGCTTCCAAATATCCTAGATGGAACAATGTCATTAATACATAATTGTCTTAAGTGCATAAAACACAGATTAATCTGCTGATAAAGTAGGCATTACGAATAAATGGATTTTTTTAGAGATATATAATCTTAGATGGAATTATTAATAAATTCAAAACCAGACTAGTGACAAAAGTTTTTTTTTTTGACAAAAAATTATCATATATTCATTCAAATAATAGGTAATTACATCCTAGAGTGCAACCAGGCTTGAAAATCAAACAAACAATTCAAAGTCGGGTACAAAGAAAGGGCCTTTCTAGCCACCATATGGGCTACCTTATTGCTACGCCGACAACTAAAACCAAAGTGAGCGGCAAAGTAATGCACGATTTCTTCAAGAATAGCCTCCATTTGGTTATCTCTAGTATCAGCCCGATTGATCTTCTCAATGATTATTTTGGCATCGCCTTCAAACCTCATTTCCGTGAAGTCGTGGCCGAGACACCATAAAATAGCCTCCCGAAGCATGTGCAAATCCACCACCATAGAGTCATCAATCAAAGAAAATTGAATCCCAGTAGCCATAAGGATTTCCCTCTTTTTGTTCATAATAACCATCTCGCCTGCCGAATGAGACCCACTCCTTGTAGCCCCATCCCACATACAAAAAACCATTTTAGACACCCCAGGACCCAAGAGTTGTATGAAAGGGACGGAAGATTGAAGGACTCGATCCACCGATAAACTTACCCACTCCTCATACTGCTGCTTAAATTGGAGCATCAAGGCAGGGATCCCAAACTATTTACCCTCAAAGACAACCTAGTTACGAGACCTCCAAATCCGCCAGAGAACAGCAACAACCGCCATGAACAAAGAAGGCTGATATATTAAGGACATCAACTTTTTTACAAAGAGCGGGAAATTTTGGCAAAGAAGGCCATGCCCAAGATACTCCAGACCCGAATAGTCCCAAAGGGCTCACGCCACCGGGCAATAAAGAAACAAGTGTTCCATTGTTTCTCAATCAGCCCAACAAACCGGGCATTGGGGAAGCACGGGGACATCCTTCTCGATAAGGGCTTCGGTAGTTGGCAGAATACGGTTAAAGATTTGACAGACAAATACTTTCAATTTGGACGAAATATTAGCCTCTCATAAAGGAATCCAATTGGCCTTATCCATCCAACTAGCTAGCGAACCCTCCGCTGATCAAGTAACAGGGTGAAATGGTGGGCCAATTTAACAGTAAAAATCATGTCAGGCGTGGCATGCAAGATCAGTCTATCCTCCACATTTTAATGTGGAAGATGAATACCTTTAATGGCACGACAGGTTGGAGGGTCAAACCACTGGCTAAGTTTAAGATCACATCATTGCCCCACCTAGTGATAGATAACCTAGGGATTATACATTGGGGGAGGGATGTAATCGAGGAATCCAGTTGGAATGAAGCAGAGAAGCAGTCTGACCATTACCAACTTGCCATCATAACCCCATCTCTAATAACTGCCGACCATAGAGGATACTCTGCCAACCCCAAGATGGGCGAGATTGAGTCGTGGCACTAAGGTACCATTAGGAAAATATTTCCCTCTATAAACCTAAGCTAAGAGGGACTGGGGTTGATTAAGGATACGCCATCCAATTTTGGCTAAAAGAGCCTGATTAAAATGTTCAAATCGACAAAATCCCATACCCCCGTCATGCTTACTCCTGCACATATTGCGCCAGGATATCCACCAAATCTTTGACTGACCCTCTTCCACACCCCACCAGAATATGGCCACATGTTTGTCTAAGAGACGACACAGGGAAAGAGGTAGCATGAAACATGACATAACATGCAGTGGCAAAGCTAAAGCGACTGACTTAATCAAAGTTTCCTTAGCCGCCAAGGATAATATCCTCTGCTTCCAGCCCTAGAGTCACTCAAGCAACTTCTCTTCCAAATATCGGAAAGCAGCCATTTTAGACTAGGAAATCAGTGTCGGTAACCCCAGATATTTATCATGGACTCCTACCGCCCCCACAGAATCTGAGCAAAGAAATCCTTGTCTGGCAGAGAAATATTCTTACTAAAGAAAACTGGCGTTTTAGCTAAGTTCACCCCCTTGCCACTAAGCTCCTCATACTCATTCAAAACCTCGATCAAACTCTCACATTCCTGGAGAGAGCCTCGAAGGGATAAATAAGAATCATCTGCAAATAACATATGTGAGATCCGGGGAGCACGAGGAGCCACTTTAACTCCTTCAAGTTTGCATTCCGAAATGGCTTTTTAATGAGCACCGCAAACCCCTCCGTGCAGCGCACAATCAGTAGCGGAGAAAGAGGATCCCCTGTCGAAGTCCCCTGGATGGGGTGAAGTAACCTGAAGGGGTGCCATTCATGAGTACCGAAAACGACATTGATTTGAGGCATTCATGAAACCATCATGTACAGATGGAGTTAAAACCCATCTTGCTCAAAACAGCAAGAAGAAATGGCCATTCGACTCTATCATATGCCTTTTCCATGTCAATCTTTAGAGCCATGTACCCTTTCTTACCACTCGTTTTGATTTTTAAATAGTGCATTAACTCATGTCCAAGGAGGATATTCTCCACTATTTGTCGTTCACGGATAAAGACATTTTGACCTTCCGAAGTGATTTGTGGTAAGAGACAAGCAAGTCGTTCAACCATGATTTTGGTTAAAATTGTGTACACAAACTTGCTTAAACTGATAGGACTAAGTTGTCTCATGGTTTCCACATTATCTACTTTAGGGATTAGCGTCAGCCATGTATGATTGAAACTACGAAGCATCTTACTCGTGGAAAAGAAATAGCAGACAACAACAATCACAGAGTCGCCAACAATATCCAAGAAGACCTTGAAGAATTTGCTAGTAAAGCCATCAGAACCTGGCGCTTGCTTTGAACCCATAGAGAAACTGTTTTCCTTACTTCACAAGGAAGGACTTCAGCCGTAAGATTGACATTCATTTCCAGTGTAACACTCTGGGCTATGGAACGATCAGCCACCCTATCAACCACGTTCAACACCTTATTCTCCAAGGTGAAAAGAGTCTGATAAAAATTATTAGCAATTTCTGCCTTCCCAGACTCCCTATCAACGATCAGCCACCCTATCAACCATGTTCCCCACTGTCGTTATGGAGGCCATACATGAAGTTTCGTTTTCTCCTAGTCCTAGTAACCGTATGGAAATATGATGTATTTTTATCACCTTTCTTCAACCATCGGACTCTAGATTTTTGTTGCCAATAGATCTCCTCGATCTCCCATTAGCAATTTATCTCCATTTCCAGGTTTCAAACCTCATCCCAGTCAATAGGATGGATTATTTTTATTCGTTCAATTTCAGCCTGGAGAGTTTTAATATTGCGAAGGGAATTCGTAGTACCTGCTCTACTCCAGCCATAGAGTCGATGGCGTAGCTTCTTTAGACATTTCCAAAGTTGAAAACATAGGAGTACCTGGAATTTCCTCCTGCCATACAAAAAACATAGGAGTACCATCATTCTTTTCAACAAATTGTTTTTTTGGTATGGGTGTCGCCCCCACTTCACCAGCAATCTCCTCCAAGGCTCGCTTGCGTGCCCCCACCCGTTGAACTTGAAGGTTCGACCTGTATTCATTGATACGGGGAATCAGCTCATCTCCAGTATCATTGAGTCATAGCCCGAGAGCACCCAGCGAGGCAGTATTGGCATCTAGGTGCTAGCTTTGGCTTCCGGGCCCCCTGCCAAACTGTATCCATCACCAGCCCTTCCTCAAAAGCATTCACCACCTGATTAACGTGCTGAGCTGTATCATTGCGGTTCCTCTTCTGAACTAGAACCGGCTTGCGGCTTTGGAGTTCGAAAATGTGCTCTTTATCCGCATACATTAGGTCGCCCAATTCGCGGGGCTGCGGTCGCCGCTCCCGCTTTGGCGCGGCAAAATGCGATTTCTTAACAATTCGTTTGTTGCAGAGCGACCCCACACTGTTTAAGGTATAATGCCATAAACAGCAATCCACTCTTTCTTTTAAGGTAAAGAGCCCGTTTCGCAAATGAAACAGCTGCGAGACCAATCTCCACGTTGAGACGACCGGAGGAGACTAAAGCAGAACGAATTAACGCCCACTTTAGTCTCTGAGTACCTTCAAAAGTAAGCTGAAAAAGCCCTTTCTATGTTATTAGTAAAGCCTAAATGTCCTTATTTCAAAATAAAGCGCTAACGCCCTATCTATCTATATAGTAAGGGTTTCTTGCAGGATGCCTAAGGAACTCCACCTATACAAGGGGTTTCCTAAATTCACGAATTATAATTTTGTAGAGCGCGGATTATTTTCAT